AGGGACCCGAGCGCAAACAAGATTGGACTCATTTCGGCATATTCTGTCGGAATCAAGAAGAATCAAAGAAGGACGAGGGAAAGAAGCTGTAGGAAACCCAACTCAACTGGGCAAGAAGGACAGGGGAAGGAAGGCTTTTGGACAACTCTGAGTCTCCGGAAACAGAGCCGCCACAGCCAACTCGGCTTTCTCGTTTGACAGAACGCAGGGTTCATGTTCTAGGCCTTGGTGCCCGCTGCAAAGCCGACAAGGGTCTGTTCGGGAAGCAAGGGGTTCGACTTTGACATTAGCCGGCAGAACGGCAGAGAAGCAGTGAACCCGGTCGCTTCGGTGTCCTGTTGTTGAGCCCCCCGTCAATCAAGGAAACCTTGATTCTTAAGAATCTGGGATTCGGAGCATTCAGGAACCTAGTCAGGGGGATCTCGGTCTAAATCGGCCCACCGACAAGCTCCAGCGTTGCAATCAGGAGGCGAGAAGAAGAAAAAAAAAAAATTTTTTTCTTCCCTCTTGAACAAGAGGAAAGAAAGCAAAGGAAAAAGGGGCAAGCCAAAACAGACCGAAGGTGACGATCCGGCTAGGAAAAGAGTAATACGAAGTAGACGGCATTGAACCTTGATCACACCGTTGAGGAAATTAGGGGCCCCGGGGGTTGGATAGAGCGTTCAATAGTGGGAAATAGTGAGCACGCACAGAGCTCTAGGGCCTGCCGCCCGCCATAACCCACTATGTCGGCCCAGTTTTACGCCTGGTATTACCCCTCGATCAGCACGCCGACCCCTAAACCCAGGGGTTATGCCACTACTCCCGCGTCTGGTTTAGGCCACTCTCGGTCTCGGAGCGCCGCATCAGTGTCTCTATCAACCGGGCCGCCCCTGACCACAACCTCGTCCCTCGCCTCTCGTAAATCCACATCGTCAGAGTCATCCTCTGCGTCATCGGCTGCCTCAGCCTCCTCGGCGAATCCTAACGTTCCTCAAACGCCGACAGCACGCGCGCAGGATTCGCTTAGAACTGTTGGTAACGGGCCGGCATCCGTCACATTCCAGCAGCAGCGCGCAAATCCGGCACTGCAAGTGCAGGGAGGCGCTGCAGGGCCCGTGGGGAAACAAGCACAAGCACGAGCAGATGAGGCGGGACCTGCGCAGGCGGCGTCGGCCACACCGGTAACTAAGAAACGCCAGTCGCTACTCCATCGAGCCAATTCCACAAGCGAAAGGGAAAAGGACAAGGACAAGCAGAAGCTTCAGAAGAAGAAGAAGGAGAAGGAGAAAGAGACAAAAGAGCGACGTCGAAGCAATCCGTTCCGCCACAGCCACGGCCACACGCGGTCTAACAGCACAGATTCTGTCATCACCCCCATCCCAATCCCCATTTCCGGGCATGGTGTTGGGATCGGCATTCTTCATAACGGCTTCATCAGCGATTACCACTACAATATCAACACGCCCGGTGCTTCTCTATTGTCTCGTTCGTCTCCCGTGACGTCCAAGACTGGAGGAGTAGCAGGGCTCCAGCTGTTGTCACACGACACTTCACCTCGACTTCAGTCGCTCCTGCTTTCGCATCGATCCGACCCCGCTGTTCAATCTAGCAGTAAGCAAAGTAAGCACAATCAGCAGCCAGTGCTGGTAGCCCCTCATTCACAGTCACAGCAGTGGTACCGCCACTATAACGACCACTACAACCACTACACCCACTACTCTTCTCAGTACCCCTTCTTCCCCTTACCTCACCACGTCACTCCCCCACACAAATGTACATGTACAAGTACCTTGACCCCTCAAGTTCCTTCCTCGACCGCCACCATCTCCATTTTTCCCACTTTTCAAACATCCGCTCCCGCTTCCGCCAACGCGTCAACACCTTCAGCGACAGCAACTGCAACAGCGACAGCGCAGGCAAGCTCGACTGCAACACCCACCAGCCCAGCCAAGCTTTTAAACATTAATTCCACGCCAATCCCACCGGCGACTGCATCCGTAACCGCGACTGCAACCTCACCCACGGCAGCCCGCTTCTCCCTCGACGCCGATATCCCTGCTGCCCCTTACCGCCCGTCCGGTCCCACCCCGCCCCATTCGCCTGCGACCAACATCCCTACAAGCTTCAGTAATATTGCGAGAAAATCAATCGCCCCTTTCGCGACCAATCCTCAACCTCCTCCCTCTCCCCTGCAGCTTGCCTCGATCCCCGCTGTTGCTGATCCCCTCTCTCCTTCTCTCCCACCGGTTCTCGCTTCCGCCTCTGCAACAAGCTCTGGCTCTGGTGGTCAATCTGTTGTCCCCGGACCACCAAACCCAGACTCGTTTGCCCTTAACGCCGGCTCACGTCCCACTATTACCGTAGATTCCCTCAGATCTCTGACAGCTGCGGCTACCGACCTCGTCGTACCGGGTCGCCGCTGCGCCTATTGCACCTACTACTCTCATCTTGCAGCCCTGCAACCGAAGAACCAACAACAACCACAGCAGGGCCAGCACCAACCCGGATCACTTGCGACGACTAGTCTCGGTACTGACCTCGCCGCTCACCCGGATCGACTCCCACTCGTCGCAACATCCACATCCTCCCCCACCGCCCCAACCCCAAAAGTGGTACCTGCAGATTCTAATAATACTACTAATAATAATACGACGTCTGCTATTGCTGCTGCTGCCGTTGGAACGAGGCTCTCCACAAATACTCCTGTTGGTCCTCCTCATAACAACAACAACAACCCCCATTCCTCCCCTCGCCTCCGACCCCGAAGTAAATTCGGCAAGCTGGCTACACCGTCCGACCTCTCTATAGGGTTCTTTCCTCCGAGGGTAGCCTTAACAGCCCTGGAGCTAAAACATGTCGCCATGCACACGGATGCCGAGACGGGAAGGGTCACCAAGATGACCTCGGCTTATTCTCGTTCCGAAAGCCTCTCCAGCGCCTCAGGCACCACCGCTTCGCTCAGCACGCGCACGATGGCCTCCTCGACCGACCCGTCCGCCTCGGGCGAGACCCTCTCCACGAAGTTCTTCATTACCCGCAACGGCAGGTCCTACATAAACGATCCCCACATAACTTACCCCCTCCCAATCGACCTCGCCGAATTACACCGCCAGTCCCTCCGAACCCTCATGCTCATACAAGTCTTTGGCGGGCCCGTGTGCTCGCCGGCTTTCGCCACGAGGCCGCCGACCCGCGTACTAGAGATCGGCTGCGGCTCCGGGTTCTGGAGCATGATGTGCCACCGGTACTTTAGAGACCGTGGCCACGGGAACATTTCCTTTACCGGTCTCGACATTGCGCCGCTAGCCCCCAGCGGCAGTGGCGATGGTGGTGCAGGCACCGCTTTCGAATTCGCGAAACCCGACCGGGACATGAAGTGGCGCTTTGTCCAACACGATATCCACTACGCACCTTTCCCCTTCGCCGACGGCGAGTTCGACCTCGTCATGGTCAAGGACATGAGCCTGGCGGTGACGCACTCGTCGCAACAGCGAATGGTCGACGAGTACATCCGCCTTTTACGCCCCGGCGGTCACCTCGAAATATGGGAGAGTGACCACACGATCCGCATGCTCCGCCCCCACGTCGCCGGCACGACCTCCAGCACGGCCGCCACGCAAACGGCTGTAGCCATGCCTGCCGACCACGACGAGGAGCACGAAGCCGCGGCGTCGCTCGGAGCCTACGTCATGGGCTCCAATACCCCCTTATCCCCACCCCTCAATAACTTCCTCGTCGAGTACAACACGTGGCTGGTGCGCGCCCTCGAGCTCCGCGATATCTCGCCCGTGCCGTGCACGATCATCGGCCCCATGCTCCTCCAGGAGAGCGAGACCCTCTGCGACGTGCGGTCTCGACGGCTCGCCATCCCACTCAGCGAGGTGCGGTGGGAGAAGGAGGGCGTCGGCGGCGTGGTGACCAAGGACGGAAAGTCGTACATCGACACGAGGGGGAAGGGGAAGCAGAAGTCGGACGCGTCGGGGCGCAACAAGACGTTGTCGGCGGGTCAGGCGGCGCTGCGGAGGACGGCTCTGCAGACTGTCGTGCAGGGGATTCAGGCGCTGGAGCCGATGTTGAAGGAAGTTAGCGGGAAGAGGCAGGATGAGTGGGATGGTTGGATAGGGAAGATGATGAATGATTTGATGAAGGACAATGGGACGTCCTGGGGCGAGTGTCTTGAGGTTGGCGCCTGGTGGGCGCAGAAGAGGACGTGAACTTTTATTTTTTCCTTTTTTTTCTCGACTTTTGCCTTTTTTTTCACTCTTCCCCGAACACGTGGGATTCTACATGCTTTTTCCTTTGTCGACGGACTGAGATGGAGATATGTCGGGAAAGGGCGAATAAACGGGATGAAAAATGAGTAGGGAAAGGAAATGTACGGCGAAAGAAAAAAGAACTATTGGGAAACAGGAACATAAAGGAGGAAAAACCATTGGATACCCTCGCCCCCCGGGGGAGGATCAGGAAGGAGAACAAGGGCTACTGGGAATGAAGGAGAGCCTGGAGGGAGCCTAGAGAGAGGATCGGCCCCGACTTCGAAGCTTATGGCTTGACGGAGGACGACAACGATGAAGGGTTTTATATTGCATGCCATTTTTATGCATAGCTATGGATGACGACGTTTGAGCCATTGTTCTTTTCTTTTCGTCTCTTCTTCTTCCTTTCTTGAGCTTTCTTCTTTTCTCTCCTTGCTCTACTTCCATTTCTACCTACACTGTTTTCTTCTTCTTTGATTCTTGGCAGATACAAGCAGCACAGTTTCCGTGTTGCTTTTTTCTGATTTATTTAATGGCCGGGATTTGGGTATTTTGGGTTTAGCGAAGGCCCCCCCTTTTATACGTTTTTCTTCGTTTTTATTGTATCAGATATCTTCTTTTGATCATGACGATACTATATTTCTTCATTAGAACTACATGCCTTGACCTCGGGACCTCCTAGTGTGATGCTGTTGCTTGATACGTTATCAAATGTATGGGTATGATGGTAGGTGTCAGTTGGATTGAACTGGATCTCGCCAGTCAATCGAACGGGTCGTATCGATGTCTGAGGGTGCGGTAGCGTTTGAGGGTGTATCTGGTTCTCGGGTTAGTTGAGATATTTCAAAGTAGTACATACTGAAGTCATTGACGAAGATGGGCAGGCAGGGAAGAGGTCAGGGAGAAAAAGGCTCAAGCAGGTAATCCGAGTCTCGGGGAGAGAAGGCGAGTGAAATGTCGCAACACGTACAGAGCCTCGATTTCTGTTTGGGCATCAAATATTAGCCATCAGTCAAGCAAACAAGAAATTCCAAGACAAATGCAGTATAGTTTTCCTCCTAGATTCGAACCGCGACGATTCTCGTTCTTCCTGCAAGAGCCACGGCTCCCTTTGTCCTCGGGCTGAGTGATGAAAGATAGGGCCATATTTTCCATACCTTTCTTCACAAACTCGGCCCGCGCTATACACTTCTCGATATCGCCCTCGTCGCGCACGCCAGCGTTCACTATGAACGCCTTATGGAGACGTCGGCGGAAGTAATCGAGGCCGAGGGGGTAGTCCCGGCCGAGGAAGAGGAGCTCTATGCGTTCGTCAGCCCGAGGTTGGCGGGGCACGTGCACGGAAGTGGGAAGGAGAAAAAACCTTTGTAGATTGCGATAACTCGGTGGCGGAGGACGGGGTTTATGGATTGAGGCGGCATTGCGAGTTGGGCGAGGTGTTGAGGAGCTACATCGGTGAAGGTGAGGTTTGGAAGCTGGTTGAGGGTTGAGGAGAGAGGGAAGGAGGAGGGGGAGAGATGAAGTCATCGTGCGATTGTTGTTGCCGTTTAACCTCGGAACTTGCCGAGATTGTTTATTCGATACAAGGACATGTTCAGTGCAACGACATTGGATTAAGCTCTGAATGGCGCCACTATTTTCATTGATTCGAGAAGATGTTACAATTGACTCTTGTAGAGTGGTCCTTTGTTCGCTGCGGTGGGGGATACCTTTTGTTGTTTTCGAATGATTATGTTGAAGCCGAACAAGGCTGTTGTTGCTGGCTCATAGAAACCGCTCCCTGTTATCGGCATTGTCCACATCGCTGAGGCTATGCACCTTGTGTGACCGAACGCAGAACAACGAGAAGATCGTAGCTATTCAAGTGAACAGCACCTCTTCGACTTCAAAGAGAAGGACGGATCAGAAGACTATATAGGAAGACGAGGGATCCGCGAGTCTCAGAACGGAAAATGTATCATCAGACATCTGACCAGCTCAAGCTCCAAGACAACACACATACACACTCTCTACATTCCTATCTATTTTACACTATCTACTTCTTCTTTCCTAAAACAGGATGAAGAAATCTACCGAGGCAGCCGTATCGACGACGGCCTCTAAGACCGTTGTGGGTGGTGGTGGTCTCGTCAACGGGAATAAGTGCAGCGTGTGCGGCCTTAACTATTCTGGGGCCGTGAAAACCTGTACTTGCTAGGATTCCCGGCCACCTGTGTGTGGTTCGGGGCGTAAGCGTGTGTTTTTGTTGTTCGTGTTGAGAACAGGAGGCTGTATGATAACTGGATTTCGAACAGACTGCGCAGTTGAATGTTTGCTTCTTTTGAGGAATCGAATTGGTGGTATTGGGAATTGGAAAGAAATTGGAGCGAGATGAGACTAAGAATGGCGATGGTTTTGTTTATCAGTTTGATCGCAGGGCAGATTGTTCGTGGCGTTGGGTTTATATCTTTGGGAATTTGAACTTTCTCATTTACACAATACAATCTGAGTTATCGCACTTGTGGTCCTCACTGCCTTAGAGTGGAAGCGGAGTGCGCATGATCTCGAATCCATATATTGGGAATTGGGTTACATGTCGCATGGTTCGCCTCTACCTACATCCAAGCTGCGGGTGTAAAGGACAGAGATGGGCAATGTGAAGCATGAAGACCATGAAGATGAAGAAAGATGGAGGAGCCAGGGGAGATAATCGAAATATCCCCTCAAGTCTTGCAGAGAGAAAAGCATCTTCATACTTTCATGGGAAACCGAGTTTGAACATTTCTTTTGTTTCAGAGAAACAACGTTTCCTATTCGCACCAATCAAAAGACGGAATTCAACAGCTCGCCCAAGCTCGATCTAAGCGAGCTGTGAATTGCGCCATTCTCCAACTCGCTCCGATCTCATCCCAAGCTCACCTCACTCCACCGCACCCCGCTGAACACATCCATATTCACACACCCAAGGAGAAATCAACCACCCACAATGACCAGCCTCACAGCACGATACACCCAGTACACAACCCTCCTCTCCCGCATCGGCCGCTGTCTTTGCTTCGGCTGCACGCCCGAGCAGACCCGCACAGCCGCCGCCATCGCCTCGCGCCTCACACGCGCATGGCCCCACGCCTTTGTCGAGGCCGAGGGATACGTGCGCCTTCCTCTCGATGAGCTCAGGTCTGAGCAGAACGCAGAGAGAGTGTCCGTCGAGGGGGGGAAGGGCAAGACCGTGAATGAGAGGGAGGTCGTGGATGCTTCGAGGAGGGCGGCGGAGCTTGCGCGTGGGAGGCTGCTGGATGTGTTGTTTGGGGTTGGGAAGGGGAGGGAGAGTGGTCCTGTTGGGTTTGTGGTTGATGAGAGGGTAGTGCCTTTGAAGGTGAGTTCTTTTAATTATATTCTTATTTTTGTGGCTGTTTTATATTCTGCCCCTTCCGTCACTCCTTACGAGGAACGGACGAGGGCTTCTACGAGATCCGCAGGGCTGATGCATAGGCTTTAGGACGCAAAGATACCATCTCGGGACTCGTTCACAGCCTTTTCCCGGTTCGGAACAGGCCCTTCATCAGGGCCCACCATTCTAAACCGGATACCGACATCATGGAAACCCAATGGAGCGGGAGATTCCGTCGTAATACAATCCGCAGTGTTCTCAGAGGCGTCAATGAGGCCTGTCGCCACAGTAGAATCCCTCTTGAAGCTGAGGAATGGGCAGGGTCAGGATCTGGACGACTGGGTAAGGGGGAACAGTGAGGTGTTGAGCAGGCTGTTGCGCGAGCTGGAAGACGGCGAGAGACGGGGGAGGACAGAGGTGGAAGATGTGGAGAGGGCCGTGGATGCTTTGGAGAGGGAGACTTGGAATCGTGAGGATGCGGTGGAGGATATGGGGAGTGCGAAGTCGTGAAGGAGATGAGGCAATGTAGATTTAGCTTTTCTTGATTTAGGATGTATGAATACCACTCGAACTTTTGAAGCCGACTCGGGGGACTCGTTTCTTCTCAGTCTGCGCTTTGTGTGGGTGTGAAGCTCTCAGACCAGGGAAGTATTTCTGCAGGTGGGATTCGATGAGGGCTTTATGGGTTGGTATGCGCATACAGGATCTCAACAACAAATGGTAAGATGGCCGAGCGGTCTAAGGCGCCAGGTTAAGGTTACCTTAACAAGTAAATTCCTGGTCCAGGAAACTGGGCGTGAGTTCGAATCTCACTCTTATCACAAGATATCTTTTTTTGGTTCATATTCCAAGTCCTTTCCGTTTTGCTTCTCTTCACTTGTTCTTCCATTATTTTGTTTCTTTTCTCTTTCCCTTTTTTTTTTTTTTTTTTTTTTTTTTTTTTTTTTTCCTTCTTCTCCATGATGCGGGGTAGTTCCTAGGCAGTGATGCGGCAATGCAGCATCAATCACAACGTCACTTCACCTCGAACTTGTGAAAGGACCCTTTGCCTTACTACAGCAAACAATGAGTCAAATGTCATGACATCCTCGAGCCTTGTCCCTTGTCCTTTGGGTTTCCTCATGTTTGTGCTTGGAGCCATGTACGTAATTCGCAATTCGGAACAAACTGGAGATCAACCGAATTGATGCAGGCTCACGCAAGTTCTACTCCAAAGGGGGATAGCGGGGTAGAAAAGCCTGGCTGTCACCCTGCATATGGAGAGAGACAGAGGCCTGGTGTTCACACCCAAGTTCATCACTTTGACCTTGGCTTGGCTGGGGTATGTCAGAGGATGTAAGACTACTGGTAGTAATGTGTTTCGCTCGAGGACGTCTCCAGTAACCCAAGAGCCCTACGAAGCAAGATGGCACGATGATGGATTCAAAGTCGGCTAAGGAGCAAGCAGCGGGGTTTTCTTCACCGCCCATCTTGGCATGGCTCGCTGCATGAACATGATGAGGCTTTAAATTGAGTCCAGTCGTACAGGTCGAGTGGTGCTAGAAAGGTTCAATGTTGGATAGGCTGCATTTGCCAGCTCATCGAAAGAGAAAAGATCATCATCCGACGCGCATCGTGAGGAAGAGGGAGGGGCTTTTTGCGAAGGAGGGGTCAATCATTTTCCACCCTCCTCCTCCTCCCCATCAATATCAACGGGACGATATATGGAGGGCATTAAGCATCGTCCTGTCCCTCCGTCCTCTGCCTGGAGCGGAGAAGGAGGTCGGTAGTGGAGACAGGTTAAGCACGGCTCTGACAGCAGTCCTCATAGTGGAGAGGTTGAGGGAGCTCCGGGGAGAAGCGCGATTGGAGGAGGGAAAGAAAGAGGAGAGATTTAATTGTTTTGACACATCGCGGGCCTATCACCCTCTTACCTTTGCGCGGTTTCGCTGTCGGTGTCGATCCGGAGGTGATTGGGACTTGATTTCAATGCCGTGAGTCCTTTGAGGGGATGGGATGGACACCACCCAAATACTATGGACTTCGGACACACACTAGATCCCGACCCTTGGTTCTCGATCGCGGTCTGATTTTAGTTAGAGTGCGTTCGTTTGAAAAATCGAGGCTCGGTAATAGTCAACATGAGCTGGAGAAAACCCTGCGGGCTAGGACATCCGTGAAACCAGCGTGGCAAATTGCCTGCGCTGGTGCCTTTCTATTCCCGACGCTAGGTTGGTATTGCGGCTAGCAATTCGTTTTCTGCGCTAGGTGGGGCGACGATGAAGAAACGGATCCGATCGATGTGATTGATGGGGTTGGCCGAGATGGGATGTGTGGACAGCGGACATATGGTTGTGGCTGTGTGATTGAGGGTTGTGGTTGTGGTTGTATGGTTCAAAATAGAAACCTCAATCGCTCAAGTGAGCATGGGGAGTAATACTTAAATTAGGGGACCCAGATTTTGAGCCTTCAATTCAATCAATCATATCAATTGATGTTCTCATCCCGTCCTGAGTCCTCACTCCACATTGTACGAAGTAAACGATGAAGAGCGGACAAAGAAGAGAACAATGCCCTGTCAGGATATCAAGGGACCCGACATCAATCCCTCATGTGTGTGTTCTTGACCATCAATCACAGTCATTGGAGGTTGTAGCACTAGAATGCAAGCGGTCTAGCACATACACAGCCGAAACTCAGGCGAAATGGTGCCGATGTCAGCTGGGCTTATTATTGCAGTTCAGAACAGTTCATCATTGACTTCGTACGAAGTACATGCACCCGTTCGCCCTGAAGAATACACAGCAAAGTACTTCGTAAAGTACAAAGTACTGGGTACGGAAGCAGCGGAGTCGGTCACAATTGATTGATCCCCCCCGTGTTTCCCCCCAATCTCCCCTCTCTTCCCCCCTTCCAGCGCCCAAATGCCGACAGCCTCCAACCTCGATTCGTCTTGAATACTCCAGCGGCCCCTTACATTCCCTTCCACACTCCGATTCTTCCCCTTGTTGGCTTGGAGCAAGGGTGGGTTACCGCAAGCAGTACCTCAGTACTGAGGTGCAGTACAGGGGTTATAAGCGGGCTAAGGGGAAGGGCGAGTCTTATGATCACGGCAATATTTCTCGGGGTAACTGGAGTGAGTCTATCTCTTCCCCTGTACCCGCGGTTATTCCTCAGGGCTCTCGAGTCGTCACTTGAAGTCGAGCAATATTTTTGTGCATCGGTATATGCGACACTGGGTCATGTCAAGTATGCATCGAGAGCAGAGATCAATAATAATACGTGAGGATGGAATGTACGAAGCAGAGATCGAAAATCCCCACTAGCGTCGCTCTATACTCTTCCTATCTCGGTACTTATAGAGCGTAGGGCAGTGCTATTTTTTCCTCTTTTCCTCTTTCTCTGCTCCGTACTTCGTTTGGTGGAATTCCCGAATTCCCTGCCACCGCCGGATGCTCGGAGATTGGACTTTTGTAGTGTATGTGGTGCGGTAAACTGCGATTCTACACTAAACTGCGACTTCGTAAATAGAATGACAATCAATGTTGTCGTCGGCTGCACGAGGTAGTGTCGTGTACATAAACTAGTGTCCACTCCACGGTACACGGGACCGACTGGAACTTTATAAACAGATCGACATGGAATTGCCAATGCGACGATACCCTTGCGCATGACGGATGATGATGAGCATCTCCAGCCAAACAAAGATCTGCCATCCGCCCGGACGCAAGCAATTCCCGGATGTCTATTGATATGTATAATTGATGTATTGATTGTAGGATGACCCTGGAGCAGCCGAGAGAGCACTCGATATCGAAACAGGACGAGCAAAAAATTATGGAAACAATGAATAAAAAGCGAACCAAAACGAGATCGAAGGGGGAAAAAAAAATCTCTTTTATCCCATCCCATGCGTCTTATTAGTGGAGTCAACCAAGGGAGAAAAGAATCTTGAAAAAAGTTGGCAGCGGATCCCTATCCTCCTAGCCTCCTTGCGGATGAATTCGCTGTGTGGTGAGTGGGGAACTTCAATGTACACGATACAGTTTCTCGACCGCCAATAGGCCGATGCCTCTGATATTGTCGGCTTCGGCTAAAGGTACTGAAGACCTGCACGATCTTCTCTCGCTGCGACTGCGCGGCGTCTTAGTGGACCAAAGTCGAGGCTCAATTGCTTGTGAGTGGCTACGCTGTCAATGCGAATATGCGGATGGCTGAACAGTGGGGTCTCCCAGGACTCTGCAGGGCCGACTGCCTCAGAGGCTCAGGCGGCGCCAAAGCGCTGCTATAAATTGCGATCGTACCGGATACGACCCTGAGCGTCCAGTGTACGGCAGAGTGTGTGGCATGAAGTTACTGCTTCTGCTAGGCTAGTGCGCAAGTGCAGTCGACCACCCACGCACTTAAAACAGTGGAGGATGTCGAGCCGCACGAAATGGGGGAAGGAAGGATCAATTCAAATGCTTGCCATCACAGTATGCTTACTGTGACATTCCCCAATTCAAAGTACACGTGCGTTCGGAGATTTGTACGTTGTCAGGTTGCAATTTACGAACGCACCATTTGATACTTGTACCTACCGTAGTTATCCTGCAGCCTAGGCTTATGAGTCGAGCGCCATCACCGCCATAATCCTTCATCGATGTAGATCACAAGCAGCGAGACACCGAACTTACAAGACCGAGGTGAAGACGAACCAACAACACAAGTCTTGTGCCCCCCCCTTCCCAAAATCCCCAGATGCCCATATCAAGAGTAATTGACGTTATCTGACGTCGGTCACATCGCATGCGGTGTACATGTGCGTAACAGCAACAGGATCCTCGCCCGGTCTTGCGAGCGCCACGAGGCATTCGTCTCGTTTTAATATTATTAGTTTGTAAGTCCGGCAGCGACGAACCCTTCCCCCTTGGCCGGCCTCAGGCCATTTGGCATCGTTCGAAGGCCGCCACGGGCCCAGATCGTTTAGCTCTGTTGCCACCAGAAACACGGATTTTCTATCAGCCATGTTTTACCTCCAAGCGCTACTGAAGTCTAACAGGAACAGAATCCTACTTATGCTCACGTGTATGGAGAGCCAACTATCTCAGATTATCAATTGATGCTTTGTCGCGCTGGCTGGAGATGGTGAACTTCAGTATTACTTCCGTACTTCGTAGAGGCACGGTAATTCCTTGAACCGACCTGCACCTTCCAAGTCACAAAAACTGGCATCTGAATCCCCGCAATACTTCGATACTTGTATCGAAACATAAGATGACATGACCAGTGACCTCGTAACACAGTGCCAATTCCAAACATGCCCCATGAGCTCCTTCCCGTCCCACCCGACCGCCGCTAAAACCTTCCACTGCGACCCAGAGTCCCTCCTTCCACTGTGGATTTTTTCTTCCCCTTCTCGAGGTACAGTTTTTTTGGTGTTTTGTGACCCTGCGTTTTATATTCTATTTTATTTTTTATTCAATTTTTTCCTTCCATCATTTTTTTGTCCCACTCGAACCCCCCCATACAGTCCCTTTTGCTCCTCAGGA